TCTGGGTGCCACTAGACACTTTGCATGGAGGAGGAGCCAAAAAGCAGTGACAGCCTGAAGCAGCCACAAAATCCCTTGTTAACAGCAGCTGTGGAGGCCCCAGTGGGGGTGGACTTCATTACCCCCAGCTCCTCTGTCTGCCTGACCCTCTCCCTGTGTCCTTACAAGCAGAACTAATTCCTTCCCACTCTTGCATCCCCTTTCTCATGGCTAAATGGCAAACTGACAACTTTCTGTAATCAATAAATATAGCTATCTATCCCTCTGAGGCAGATAGGGACCTTCATGGAAACAAAAGACAGGTACAAACCCAAAGTCTTAACTCAGAAGCTGTTATCCATTAAAATGTGATATATGTCTTTTCCCCTCATGCTCCAAGTAATCTCAGCTCCTTCAATATCTTTAAAGAACTAACAGCAATGCCCCTCAAACTATTACAAAAAATGTAAATAGAAAGATACCACAAAACTCATTCTATGAATAAGCTGTCTGACTAATAACAAAACGAAGTAAAAACACATAGAAAAAAAGAAAGTTATAAACCAATTTCCCTGATGAAATAGACCCAAAAATTCTCAATAAAATACTTGCAAGCCAAATTTCATAACACATTAGAAAGGTAATACACTATGATCAAGTAGGTTTCATCTAAGGAATGCAAAGGTAGTTTGACAAATGCAAATCAATAAATTTAATACAACACAAAAACAGAATCAAGAACAAAAACCACACTGGCCTCTCAATAAATGCAGAAAAATGTTTCAACACAATTCAACATCCTGGAATCTTCACTCCCATTTCCTTTGTAGGGAGCAAGAACTGTTTCTCCCTTTTGTCCTCATTTCTCCCTACTTCTATCCTGTTACACTAAATTTTTTTTCTAATAAACTCTGCTACCTTTGTACTACATTTTCACATCATGCCTAAATTCTTCTCTCACTTAGACTCAAGGACCAAGATATATTCCAGCACTAACTTTCTGGTAACATATTTGGTGCTATGATACATCTTTATTCAGATACATCTGTTTCTGCAAAAGGTAAGAATGGTTCTCCCCAGGTTGGGGATATGCCTGTTTGCTCTGCTTTGCAAGAACTTTTCTACTATTTGGATTTTGACTGAGAATTCAATGTTATCTTCAGGAGGCTTAGAGCTTTTTTCCAAGTGCTGCCTTTGCATTCCTACCGAGTTACTTGGTGCCTGCTGCTTCCTTTTCCCACCAGACCCTCACTCAGATCTCCACTCTGCCTTTTCCAACCTTCAGGTTTTATCCTCCCTTTATGGACTCCTTCTGCTCTCTGCCCCTATTGCTCCAATCTTTTGGATGTGACTGGGCTTCTTCCTTTTACGCCACTGCCTCAGAGAAAAACTTATTTCAAGTATGATCTCCCATTATTAAGGCATTTCCTTTGTTGTTAGGTTACTACTCAGTCTTGTGTCCCTTTGTGGAAATGCCAATGCCATATAAGGGATGCTTATAGATAAAGCAGGACCATTCCTTGTGATGGATTAAAGAGAAACCCAAGCACTGGAAGAAAAGAGGCACTGGAGGGAAGAAATTAGAAAGAGTGCACTATGCTAATTTCTCAGTCACTAGAAAGATGCTTTAAAAGTGATCCCAGTTGGGTGCTAGTGGCTCATTCCTGTAATCCTAGCTACTTGGGAGGCTGAAATTGGGGGATCAGAGTTCAAGGCCAGCCAAACAAATAGTTCACAAGACCCCATCTCCAAAATAACCAGAGCGAAATGGACTGGACATGGTGTGGTTCTAGTGGTAGAGATCCAGCTTTGTGAGTGCAAAGCCCTGAATTAAAACCCCAGTCCCACGAAAAATAAAAGATAAATTGAATAAAAAGAGGCAGAGAGAGATCCCAAAGGTTTACCTAGCTCAAGGCAGAGGGGAATTCCCCTCCCACCATTTAGACTACTGAGCCATGGTGGAGTTTCTTATCTCTCCCACTCCAATGCTGCCCATGTCTTCTCTCCTGGACAGACCATCTGAGTATGGACAACAGAAGCAAAGATGATTGAGGAGAAGGGAGAGAAGTCCGGTTTAGGTTATTTTGTGGCACCAACCAGTTTCTCTGCCTCCCAAGTGGCCCACACAGTCCCAGGACAGAAAATTCTAAATGGAATGTGACTGCAGATTGGAGTTGCTTCTCTCTCCTGACCTTTGGGTTTTTTCTATCTAATGCTAACAAGCTTCTGGGAGTGGTCGCCCTGCCTGAAGAATGACAGGAAGGCTCTCTTCCTTTCTTCCAGATGGGAGAACAAGTCATCTATTCCTGCATACTCACCCCAGGGTTGCATTCTTTGTAATGTGACATGATCAATTTACAGACTGCCAGACCAAGAAGTATGGCCCCAAGAGGCCCTCTTACTTGATCTTTTCTGCTGTAGTACCTCTGTATAGTCTGAGGTTCCCTATGTCCAGGCTTGCAGGTTCCTCATGCAGGATTCAGACTTGCAGGAAGGACGCAGGATGTCTGGCTTCAACAGGACATTCTAGATGATCCCTAGCTCTCTTCTGCAGCACTCTGATGCTCTGTGGTCTTTTTTGCCTCCTTCTAGCATTGGCCATATCGTTTGGTTTCTTCTGTCCACCTTACAAGACTAGTTGTCTATCACTGGTCAGAAAGTGGCTGATGGTCTGTTTCTATGGAAACGTACCCCATGTTCAAATATCCAGGGCTAATGGATCCTCTCTTGATTTTCCAGTGTTTCCTGTGGAATTAAACTCCTTTCTTTGTCTTCCTGACTTTTCTTCCTACCCTCTGCCCTGGAGGTAATCCTTTTGCTCTCCTCGGACATTTTTTTTTTTTTTTTTTTTTTTTTTTGTGATGCTGGTTAAAGTCCAGGCCAATTCACAAGTTTTCCATTTGTCTTATTTCACTCTCCAGGCTGTCCTCTAGTTTGGGAGTACCCCTTAAATTGGCTCCAATCCCTGTGGCCTCTGGGGGCCCAAGAAAATAAAAGGGAGATTTTCCATTTATTTGTTCTGTGTTTGATGTTTATTTTGTGCTTGTATGTTGTCTGTTGACATTCTACAGAAGTACAACTTCTATCTAACAAAATAAGGAGCACTTGTTAGGATGCCAAGACATACTACAAAGACACAAATTAAATTTAAAGGACTCCAGGTAAGTCCAGCCTAGGAATCAGTCCTTCTAAACCTCTTTGTTGCTTAAATTTGACCAAAAAGCTTTTATTGGCACTGACTCCCACCTAACCTGCCTGTCACTCACCTCCAACATGGGACCAAGTCAGACCAACAAAGCTATCTTATTCTAATGTTGTGGCAATATAGTCAAACGAGAAACCAAGCAACACTCAGAGGAGTGGAGAACTCAGATTTTATTTTTACGCCAGAGGGTTCAGACATGTACCTGTGTCTGTGCACTGAACAAAGTATTTACAGGATATTTAAAAGGCAGTGCAGGTATAAGGTTACAAAAATGTGCTCAGGTTATGGTGTCTTAACCAGTGAGTTAGAGACCTAAGATTGCTTAGGCTAATTGGGCTGGTAGTGAGCTAGGGACCTAATGTTGTTTAGATAAGGTCAGCAGGGGAGTCCTGCTTTGGAAAGTTTATTTACAAGTAGAGACAAAGAAGGGCAGGAATAGGTGCTTATCTCTGCATGGTGCCTTTCATCTCAGTCCTGAACTTTTGCATGGCTCTAATGGGCAATTCCTCATGCTTTACAGCTCTGTTCGAAGATAGCCCTGTTTCAAGGCTATCTTCCTAGTAACAAGGACCATTAAAAAAAAAAAACAGTTTAAAAAAAAGCTGCTCAGACAAGAGGGAAAATTGTCATATTCCAAATGGAGTTACTTGTATGTACCCTGATCATCCAAAGCAATAAAAGCCAAGAGGTTAAAAAGAAATGGTTCATAATCATGGTTATCTGATGCCATGCATATCTACTTTCCAACTGAACAAAAACTTATCCCCTTGCCTTTCTATCACTCACTATTTATATAGTTCCAGAAGAAGTGTAGCTGTTCCTCATTAAACCTTATAAACCTCATGTTCTATCTTTGTTGACTGTTTGGCTGGTTGGTTGGCTGGTTGGTTGGTTGGTTGGTTTTTAGACCTAGATTTTGAATAAGAGAAAACATACGATATTTCTCTTTTCTGCGTCTAACTTCACTTAACATGATAATCTCTACTTCCATTCATTTTTCTACAAATGACATAATTCCTTCTTTATGGCTGAATAATAGTGCATATATACCATAATCTTTTTATCCATTCATCCTTGATGGGCACCTAGACTGACTCCATAACTTGGCTTTGTGAATAGTGATGCAATGAACATGGCTGTGCAGACATCTCTACTGTATGCTTGCATTCCTTTGGATGTATGCCCAGAAGTGGTATACCAGAACCATATGGTAGTTCTTATTTTAGTTTTCTGAAGAAACTCCAAACTGATTTCCATAATGGCTGCACTAATTTACATTCATATCAACAGCATGTAAAGATTTCTTCCCCCATCCTCATCAGCATTTGTTGTTTGTTTTCTTTATGATTGCCATTCTGACTAAAGTGAGATGGATTCTCAAGGTAATTTCGATTAGCATTTGCCTCATGGCTAAAGAGATTAAATGTATTTTATGTATTTATTTGCTATTTGTGCTTCTTCTTTTAAGAACAATCTGATCAATTCATCTGTCCACATATTAATTGGATATTTGTTAATTTGTTGAAGTTTTTTAATTCTTTATATAATATGGGTATTAACTCTTTGTTAATGAACAGCTGGCAAAGAATTTATCACATTTTGCAAGCTGTAGCTTCACTCTGGTAATTTTTTGCTTTGCTGTGCAGAAGCTTTTTAGTTTTTTATTTATTCTTTTTTTGTGGTACTGGGGATCCAGTGGCATGAACCTAGGACTTATGCATGCTAGGCAAACCTTCAAGCACTGAGCTACATCCCCAGCCCAGAAGCTTTTTAATTTGTCAATTCTTGCTCTTATCTCCAGAGCTATGGAGTCCTATTCAGAAAGTCATTGCCTAGGCCTGTATCTTCAAATGTTTTCCCTATATTTCCCTCCAGTAGTTTCAAATTTTCAGATCTTATGTTAATGTTATTAACCCATTTTGAATTTATTTTTATACAAGATAAGATATAGGGATCTAGTTTCAGTCTTTACATATGGATACCCAGTTTTCCCAATACCATTTGCTAAAGATGCTAAAGTGCCAATATATATTTTTGGCACTTTTGTTGAGAATCAAATGGCTGTAGCTACTTCGGTTTATTTGGGGGTCCTCTGTCTTCTCCACTGGTCTATGTATCTGTTTTGTGCCGGTTCCATGCTGTTTTCATTGCTACCATCTCGTGCATTTTTTTGGTAGTACTGGTATTTGAACTCAGGGCTTCAGGCTTGCTAGGCAAGTACTCTACCACTTGAGCCACAAATACAGTGGAAGGAATGCAGAAACTCCTGAGATAAACCAATTGCCCATCCTAAAACCGTGATTTGTATGCAAGTAAAAAAAATATTTTAAAGCCATGCCCAAAACCAACAGACCACCACCACCCCTGGACGTTGACCCCCTCCTACATGCTCTGGGGTTGCACAGGAAATAAAAACTATTCTATCCTTTGTCTATAGGTCCACCCTGATGTCCCTCAATCAATAAATGGTACTCCCCACTTGCCATCCCCCCTACTCTAATTAAACTTTGCTGGAAATGTTCATTCTTTCTCTGGATGGGTTTCATTTCCACTGTCATTGTCAGAAAGATCCCTTGTGCCCAGTAACACCTTCAGAAAGACTCCCACTCTGTAGACATCTGAACCAGAGGGGAAGAAAGGGTCATGGATTAAGCACCTGTTGGATGATTCCCCACCTTGGGGAAAGCCCTTGATTCTCAGAGCCTCGCTTCCTTCAGATGTAATATGGGGTACTGAGCCACTTCAGGTGATGCATTCTACCCAGAAGCAAGGACAGTCCAGATTGGGGAGAAGGAGAGAAGTCAAGGGAGGCAGAGCAGCTTGTGCCCACCTTCAGTGAAGGACTGGTCAGAGTGGAAGCAGCAGGACCAGAGTTTTGGGAGTAGCCTCAGCATTTCCTCTCACCGCTACCCCTCAGAGCAGATATTGGCACAAACAGACTGCTCCATTCCTGTTTACTTTGCTCTCTAGCTAGCAATAGCTGGCCTCTGTTCTTAAGATTACCAGAAGAAAACATGTTCAGTCCCTCAGCACATTTTCCTGCTGGCTGAAAAACAAAAGGGATAGAGGTTAAGTTCCCCTGAGAACTGCCCCACTGAGGGCAGTTTTCCAATCAGGGAAAGAAACCCCTGAGGCAGTTAACTGGCATTGTATAGAAAATGTAGCTATTGTCAACTCTTTATCTTAGATCGCCAAATGGTTTTTTAATTGCCTTCTGAATGTTTGATATGGGTTTTCCTTGGGAAAATTAAGCACATGCAAATCAACATAATTGGAAATGAATGCCAGTCATGAGAGGTAGATTATCTAAAATATTTCAAAGATGGTTGCTGGAAGCCCAAGGATTACAACAGCTGCACACAAGCTAACCACAAGTGCTGGGCTGCTTGTGGTTAAAGTCCAGAGCAATAAGCCTCCAACTTGAGTGCCTAAAAATGTAAGTTTCTAGCTTCTCAATTCTGGAGCAACAGGCCCCTAGCTCTCAGGATTTGGAGCTGAGAACCTCAAGGTCTGCTAGTGCACCCTTAGGACCTGGACACTGAAGGGCCAGGACTGGAAAAATAGAAGAGCTTCTCACCTATTCATGATTTAGCAAAAGGACCCCAGCTAGATGGTTTGTAACAGGAATGTGGGATCAGAGACTTGGTGATCATAGCCTGTAGGAGTGATGGGGAAGCATGAACACTGAGGAGGTGGAAGACACAAAGCAGAGGAAAGATGTGGACGGCAGAGGGAAAGAATAATACTGATCATTGTTGGAGTGACAAGAGAGAGGATCCTGATGACAGAGTCACATTCATGACTAAGAATCTTCTACGCAGTTTCAGCTGCTGAGATCCCAGCATTTGCACACCCAATGGTCAGGTCTGTCTTCCCTGTCTCTCATATATCCTCACACCATAAAAAGATCACAGCCTCCAAGAGAAAACAGAAAAGGGGTGAAGGTCCCTAAGCTTGGGTTAGTTAACTCAGGCTGCAACAATGACCTGCCACAGCCCATGTGACTTAAACAACAGACTTTTATTTCTCACTGCTCTGGAGGCTGGTGTCATCCATTTGCATCATTTTCTGCTGCAAATTATAGCTATACATAGACTAGATAAGTTATAAATAAAAGAAGTGTGTTTGTGCTCATGGCTGTGATCCCAGGAAAACAGGCTGCATCTGCTGATGGCTTTCTTGCTGGCAAAGTCCTGAGGTAACGCAGGACATCACATGACCATAGACATGGAGTGTGCAAGAGACCTAGCCAAAATGGATTTTATAGGAGACTATTCTCAAGATGACCCATTAGCCCATAAATTCATTAATCTATTAATTAATCTATTATTAATTAATTAATCTATTAATTAATACAATGGTTTGATCCTGGTCCCACCTCCTAATATGAATTTTGGAAGGAACAAACTATATTCAAACCATAGAAGCTAGGAGGACCAAGATCAAGGTGCCAGCATATTTGGTGTTCTTCAAGATAGATGCCCTTCCTTGCAGTCAGATGACTACTTTCTCACTAGGTCTTTACATGGCAGAGGGTAATACAGACAGAGCTCTTGTCACTCCTTCTTTTTTTTCTTATAAGGACAAAAGCAAATCCCGAATTTGAGGTGAGAGGACACAAACATTGAGTACTTTACATTGGGCAAACTATGTCTTTAATCGAATTCTCACTGCTACTACTACTACGCTGTATTTTCCCAAAATAAATCATCCTGTGCTTATATTTAGATCATTTAAAATTAGCATTCATGACCACAAAAGAGAGTGAAATCAATAAACCAACCTTACTCCCACTAAGTAAGCAAAATTCCCCCATACTAACTGGTGCCACAAAGACAACGCCACGGATTTATTGCTTTTCACGCCTGCTTCTGAACAGCAGGAGACCGAAGAGTCCTGCAGCAGCCAGGACACCTGCTGCCACTCCTGCTTTCGTGGCGACATCAGTGACCTGGAGCAGAAAAGAAGGAAACAAGTGTCATCAGAAATCTGACCAAGGACACAAGGAACATGCAAACCAGGGGAAACCTATCCGGTTCTGTCCTCTTCATCTGCATCACAGATGGAACAAATACTGGCAGGGAAGCAGGAATACCAAAAAGTCAGGCCATTCAATATAAAGAAAAGGAGGTACCTTGTGGGAAAAGAATGAATGGAAGAATGAGCCATGGGTATGAAATAAAGAGACATGAGGGAAACTAGATATACTCTGTAAGTATTTAAAGCATAATAAATCTGGCTTTGGAGTCCAGATATCATAGGTCATGCTGTGGAGTAGAAGAAATCATCCCTCTGAGAGCTCACGACCTAAGGTTTGAGGACAGGGACCTCACCTGAACTGTTCTTGGGGTCCCTGGTGCTCAGCCCTCTGCCAGGCACAGAGGAGGCACTAGGGATTTATCTCCTGAACAAATGCTGGATGAGAGTGGGATGGAAGATATGCTTTTATGAAATAATATGACCTCGCTTGGGTGCTGATAGGAAAGGGGTTCCACCAGCTGATTTGGAGGCTCTGAGAAAATGGCAGAGATGTGAGTGTGACACCTGAAGGTTGGTGTACTCAGCACAGGCAATGTGAGCCCACTGAGATGGCCAACTGTGACCTGTGGGCCCAGCCCTGACTATGTTACTGTGTCTGAGACCAGTGGAAGAGGAACTGGAGGCAGAAGGAGCCACAAAAACTTCAAGAAAGGCTGCTTTCTACGTGTCAGCATGACATTGGGCACTTTATAGGCCATGTTTTTTTTTTTTTTCTTAATGCAATGACAGCCCTATGAGGTTGGCATTCTTATCCCCACTTCCTAGAGGTAAAGGCTGAAGGTGGACAGTGCAAAGACTTCATAGCTGACAAGTCACAAGGCTCAAATCTGCGTAACTTCCCAACAGGTATGCTTAAGCACTTCCTAGCCAGGGAAGCAAATATTCAAAACATTCAAAGATCAAATGTCTGTGGAGTATCATTGGCTTTGAACCATGTGAATAGCAAGAAAAAGAAGGAAAAAATGGACTATTTTAATCAAGAGCAATCAGAAACACTTCCAGTCGTCAAAGGTGAATGAAGCTGTACATGGAAACAGTTGTACTGATTTTATTCAGTCACTACTGACATTGAGCAGAGCTCCATTTCATTTGTGCAGAGGTCACTGGGTGTCTTAAAGGAAGACAAAGGAGTAGGAAGAGGGGAAAGTAGGGTTCTTGGACTCAGAGAGGTGAAAAATTATGAAAAGTTGGCCCCTGAGTCTGTTAGCTGGCAATTATGGAAGCTAGGATTTTACCTTCTCTCAGAAACTAGGAGACAGATGCCTTATTCTTCCTGATGCTTGCATTTCAAAGAATTGACTTTCTGGGACTTTATATTTACATCTCAAAGTCTTTTTTTAGTAAATACTCTAAGAAAGGGAGGATGTTGATGAAAACAAAAGGGAAATTCTCCTGGAAGGCAGTGCTTTCTTAGGCAGGCATTGTAGTGGGGTGTGAGATCATCTTTGGAACCCCCTTACATGTTGTCAGAAGGCATACTAGGGTTTGGACATCTATTAGTGTGAGGGTTTGAACAGAGTCATGATGAGCTAAGGTCCTAGAGTTCTCATAAGACAACTTTCTTCCAGGGAGAGAATACCCAGCATGCCACACCTTAGTCCAGAAACAAGTCTACCCTCCCAGCTCAAAGGATGGGAGAATCCAACAGCAGATCACTTCTTGGCACCATGTTCTCACTGAGCCCCAATGCCCAGAAAAACCTGGAAGGCTCTCAGTTAATAGTCTGAGCTCCCAAAAATGGAGCCTTCATTTCTAGAAGATATTTCATTTCATCTCCCCTTATAAAAGAAGAGTCAAATCTTCCTCTATCTTAATCTTTGGTTCATAGGCCAAGATAATAAACATCCCTGGACAAGAAAGCAGGGGCGGGGGGGGGGGATTCTGAATGTATTACATCTAAACAGAGAGGACTTCCAAAACAAATACACACCCATACGGAGGGAAGCTGTTGACTTGATCTATCCACTACTTGAGAATTCTAAAGTGAGATGGTTGTCATGTAAACAGAAATTAATACCTGTGAAGTGGTAATAGTAAATCCTGCCTCTAGGACTGTAGAGGGTCGTCTCAGGACCAGGCAGCCAGGGAGGGCTAGATAACAGATCTGATTGTCATGTCTGTGACTCACTTACCTGGGTGTCACCCTCCAATGCACTGATATGCATGCATTGTCAACTTGCCTATCTGTCTCCCCTCCCTTGTCTCCACCCCAAACATGACATCCTCAAGGGCAGGGACTCCATCTGTGCTATTTTGTCTTGCTCATGTCTCTATCACCATCCTGGTCCAGCCACAGCAGGTACCCCACCAGGGATGATCTTGTTCCTGGGAAAGGGAACACAGGCTGAGGACTCACCTGGTCACTGATGGGAATGCCGTACCGCATCTCATTCACAAAGTGCTCACAGTTCTTGCTGGTCAGTGAATAGTGTACCACCTGCCCCACCTTCTCCTTTGCCCGCTGGACAATTTTGGTGGCAGGAAGTGGTAGATACTTATCATCATGTTTGTTATTGACCCGGTACTGGTCTCTCCCAGCCACCACAGACAGCAGTTCCTTCTTCACTATGGCTGTGTCAGTCAGGGCAGACATGATGCTGTCTGTACCAATCCCTGCAATTTCGCCTGTGGAAACAGTGAGTTCAGTGAGTTCAGTCCTAGGCAGGGCCAAAGGGAACTGGTCCCAAGCCAGAGAGCCTTGATACTCTCAGCACCACCCTGTGGAAGGACCTGCCAAACTGACTGGCGTCAAACTCAAGAAATAATCATATCCAGCTTTGGAGGGGGTATAAGAGGTCCTTGGTCTCTGGTTTATGCTTGTCTAAAATGAAGGATGTGATTTCTAAAGAATCACATGGGTTCAGAGGTCCTCAACGCAGTCAGCAGTTGAGACAGAAGGGTGCAGGGCAAAGAAAAGGAAGAAGACAGTTGAGTCCTAGTCCTGGCTTCTTCTCGCTAACTTGTGGCCATAAAAAAAGTCACTTGACCTCCTCCTGGCCAGTGACATAGGAGTTCCCTGAAAGGGACCAGCTGAGTAAGAAGAGACTCAGACACCACCCAACCCCACTCCAGTTTCCAGTCCTGGCTCACTCACTGAAAAAAAAATATTTCCGGGCAAGTCCCTTCTCTTCTTAGGGCCTCATTCTTATTATTTACAAATTAGAGAAATTGGACCAGGTGATGTCCACACTCTCCATAAGGAACCTTACCTTTTTTCATTCCTAGGAGACTAGAATTAGACAGTGCCAAAATGATGTTGACTGTGATGGACCCAACTCACAGAGAAATTAACCCTCATCCTATAACAGCTGGGGTAGTCTGCTTCCTGGAGAAACAGCACATGCTGAGGACACACCTGGACTGTGGATGACTCCATAGCACAGCTCATTCACAAAGTGCTCACTCCTTAAGCCCTTCCATAAACTCCACAACCCAACCCCTCTAGTGAGCTGCATATTGGAGAAAGTATCTTCTGCCTTGTTGTCCATAACAGGAACAGACCTCTGTATGTAAGTTCTCCTCATAAATATTCTGTACTAATTAGTCTTGTATTTAGTACTTTTGTTCTTTGGGATCCCACCATGTCCATTTGGAGAAGCCCTTTGAAAAAACTCCCCTGCCACCACTTTTGAGGCAACTCTAGCCTCAAAAGTTCTCCTCGACAGAATATAAGGGAAATCTATTTCTGTGTTACGTTATGGTTATACAATTATAAGCATTTGTCAAAAACTTACAGAATTGTGTACCAGGAGGCTAAATTTTATTATTTGTAAATTAATTATATATATATATAATATATATATATATATATATATATATATATATATTATATATATACACAGAGAGAGAGAGAGAGGGAGAGAGAAACCAAAATGGAAACCACAAATATACCTCTAGATCAAACACCCACAACCATAAAATCAAAACTTAAAATTATCACAATTTCTCAAAAGGTTAGCTCTACCTGTAAACAAAATTTAAAACTATTTTCACTTCAACATGCCTTACAGCTAGCTACGAACAAATAAGTTAAGGCAGCACTACTACCTTCGGGGATTTTAAGTCTCCAATGGCCAATCTCAATAGGGAGCAATGGGATTCCTCCTCCATGTTTTGTAAACTGACCTATAACTGTGGTGAGCCCAGCTTCTTGCCATTTCCAGTTTGAAGTCCCCAGTTTGTGAACTGTTCTTTTGTCTGTGCAACAGACTTTTAAATGTTTCTAACTTAACACGATTTTGTTTCTTTGACAGTTTCTGGTGTCAGAAGTGGGATCCAAAGATTAACATCATCACCCTCGCTGATCCCAGAGGACAATGAGTAACCAGACACCATAATCCACAAGTTCATTGTGATCATTAATTTCTTGCTGACCGCAGAGTTCTAGGGTAAGTCTCCCTCAGATCCACTCTTTTTGCATTTTGAGCTCTCTGGGTTCATTGTGCATACACGTATTTTGTTGATGCTTCTTGATAAGTCACACTTTTAGCAGTGTGGTGACAAAACCCATCATTCTAGACATTGGTAGAATTACTGAGCAATGTATATAATAGTCATTTTAGGAAATGTAAAGGCTTGGAGGGGTAGCTTAAGTGGTAGAATGTCTGTAGCCTAGCAAGTACAAGGCCCCAAGTTCAAAACTCAGTATCATCAAAAAAATTAAACAAAGGCAAATATGGATTCTATCTGATCAAAAAACCTTTCCTTATCACCCTCAAATTAAAAATTCCTCTTGGAACCTATGACCAGGGCTCAGTGATTTACATTAATTTGTTCATACGATAGTGGGCAGAAGTGTTGCTAGAAAAGAATAATTTTGAAAATCCAGCTAGAAATTTTGAAAATCTTACCACTATAAGGAATAAAAGGGGGCAGAAAAATGGGACAATTGTTACTAGAAGCTATTCCTGAAGTATCTCTCACGACACTAAATTAAACCATCATCCAGTCTTATATGCAGGAAAAAAGATGGATCAACTTCAGATTTCTGAATCTGCCTAAAAGAAATTTTCACAAAACACTCTGGCCTTGGGGACTAAGATGATGAAGTGGCTCTGTTAACCTGTTCTGGACTGACCACAAAAATAACCACTTTACTAAAGAAATATAAATTAGAATTAGAGGTAATTCCCTAAAAGAACTACAATACCTGATGGAATATTTTGAAAGAATGTAAGAACAAAACAGGACCTGCCAGACCCTTGAACATGTGTTTTCGCCTAAGTCTAGCTCCATCTTCTGATAAGCATTCCTGTCCTCTAGGTTGAGAGAGAATGAAATGAAGGAGTACAAGGGAAAACAGTGGTGTAGGGCTTGGCCAGGTGCTGAAGCAACCTCGCTTTCCATCTGATACATCACAGAATTAAGGAAAAAGATGAAACACCGGAAACTACTCATGTACAACTGCAGGAGCAACAATAGAGAAAAGAAGAGAGACAACCCACCCTTACTTAGGGAAGTCAGGTGGACCACATAGCCGTTTCCCACATAGATGGCCCAGTGTGCATAGCCAATGCGAGAAATCTCAATCAGGTCTCCTGGTTTTGGTCTCGACTGGGTCTGCAACAGAAAAGTCAAAAAGAAGTGGACATGATCCTTTGCAGGAACAGTCTAGAGCCTACAGATACCCTCTGTTTATCTACAGGAAACAGGGAGGGGAGGGGCAACTGCTCACACAAATGGGAAGCTTCTCCATTTACTACTACTGGACTGAAAACCAGCTCAGGGGACAAGGAAGAAATGGGAATGGTGTGTTTGAGGGACCATGGCAGTCGGTGTACAGCACAAGACTGCAGTGGAGTGGTTTGCCCAAGATGAGAAAGAGCACATTTTATGCAAGGAGTATATTTGTATCAGTCAGCAAGTGACTGTGTGATTCCCAAGAAGGTCTAAAATGCCTCATGAGGGGCCAGAGGCCATGTACCCAGGCCTGAGTGATTCTTGTGATTTACAGAGCTCCATCTTGCAAAGCCCAATGCACCAAACCCTGCTGAACACTTGACCCACATTGTCCATCACTCCTTAAGTAAGAACTATTTTCCCCCTGTGCAGATGATAAGACTGAGTCTGTGGGAGACAGACAACTTTCCAAGACAGTAGAAGTGCAGGGTGGACCCTACGACTGAGAGTTTCCAATTTTATGCCCTTAACAATCCCCGAAGGTCCTGGACAAGCCTGAGGCAGCTGAAGGCTGAACTCTAAGCCAAAAGCATTAAGAAGGATGAAGAATAATTTTAGGTGGTGGTAGGGCAGTCCCCTTCTAGACCATGCACCAGCAGGACCATGTTGCCTTCACCTCAGGAGTTTTATTTCTGGAAAACTCTGAGGCCAGTCAGCACCTCTCCTTCCACAACTCAGCTGAGCTGGACAGCATGCAGCCGTTGTGCCCTGATCAGGGAGCTGAGTGAATCAAGGACCCAGCCAACTGCAAGTCTGGAGGGGAGACACAGTGTTCAGCAGGGTTGGTATAATGGGACTCGTGAGTTGAGCTTTGTAGCTCACAAGAATCACTCAGAGCCAGGTAAGGGCAGCATGCCATTAATAAGGCATTTAGGCCTCCGTGGGGATCATATAGTCACTTTATAATACAAATGTGCTCTGTACATAAAATGCACTCTCAATATTGTTGAAGTCCTTTGATCAGGAGTCAACTTGAGCAAAGATGAGTAATTTGAGTTCCAAAAAGAATAACAAGTCTGGCATGGTGGTACATGACTGTAATCCTAGCACTCAGAAGGTTGAGACAGTAGGATTAAGAGTTCAAGGTCAGCCTTCTCTACATAAGGAGACCCTGCCTCAAAAACAAATAAATGAAAAATTTAAAGTAAACAATTACATATAGAATGAAACACCTCACATTGATCATCTCAAACCATAAACAAGGATGGAGTGTAAGCAGGGAACCCAATTAAAAACTACAACAAAACCTAAAGCCACAAAACAACACTTATATATCTAGGTAGATAGCTGATAAATAGATAGATAGATAGATAGATAGATAGATAGATAGATAGATATAGACACAAAGAGAGAAAGAGAGATGTCTGCCTTTAGCCTCCATGCTAATGGTTTAAATCTTTATTTTAGTTTTGGTTTTGGCTTCTTAAACGAGGTTAATGTATTGGCATAGCCCTTATGGACCTAAAGGAATCTTTAAAAAAATAAATAAGTAAAAGTTTTGGAATCAAAATCCCCCTTTGCCTCTTGGGCAAATACCATCTCTGGTATTAACCAGAAAACCATTCCTTGCAACTCTAATGTGCAGAGTAATTATTCCTACTTCATTGGGTTGTTTGGTAACTGCCTGGTTACTGCCTGGTTTGATTAACTAATATCCTTTACTGTGACTTCAGGACCCAGCTCTCAGGAAATATGTCTGTTATTGAGCTTAAGGAGAAAGGATCATATGGAAAGCAAACAGAAGGGAGAAGGGAAAATTAGAGGGGCTGGTGCTGTTTAGAGGAGAGAGGAGACAAGACCGTTCCTGACAGCCCACCACTGCCCACACAGCTGTGAACCATTTTTCTGCACCCTCCATCTCCATCCCACACTCCAAGCAAAAACAGTGTGATCCAGAAAGTGAGCCTGGGTAGGGCCGGGCAAGGGCTGCCCTGGCAGAGCCAGCCATTCCTACCCCTCAGGAAGCCTAGAGAGTAACTGGAAGTGTGGCTCAAGGAGGGCTTGGGAAAGCACAAACCCTCTCCCAGAACTGCTGCTCACCCACCTCAGTAGGAGGCAGGGAAGCTTCCAGGCTCTTGACCCAGCACCATGGTTCCTTTCCTGGGGTATCTGAGAGAGCAGGGCCCACAGGACTCAATGTGTCCCTGTGTCCCCATGTGCCCTCTCTGCCAAAGCTACAGACCTACAAGTAAACCATACATAATCCCTAGAAACAAGAGTTGTTGCTGCTGCTTTTAAAATAAAAGCTTTAAAACCTTTTCTGAGGACTTACCGAAGTCATTCCCCTGTCCAGATGGGTTGATTGTGTGTTGCTTCCTGAACGCCAAACCTGTATTAGCCTTGGAGTTTCGTTTTCCCTGTAACCCTGCCCTAGCAGTCAAATATGTTACAACCTAGATAAAGTTTCATGTAATAATTGTTTCCTCTTCAAGCAAGGGCAGGGCACATGTCCAAGAGCTAAGCAGGCATGAGGATCAGTTGCAAGGGAGAGAAATCTGAGCACAAGATATGGATTCAGGAGAATTTGATAGCAGGTGTGCTGGGGCACAGCCAAAAGCCTCCAAAATCCTTCTCCTTCAGGCAGACAGAAGAGAAACAAGCAAGATCAGGCTGTGCGGGGAGGGAGAATGGAGGTACAGGAACAAAATGGAAGATTTTCAAGAGGTTAGGAGGAGCTCCAAGGAAACTGAGACCACACACCAAAATGCAGACTGACCATTGGCAGACCAGGCAGACATCCCCACTGTAAGAAAAACGATCTTTTCTATCAAAGTATATGTCACCCTCTTAGATTACTTAAAATTCCTCAGGTTGCCATTTTAGGTGACTTGAATGTTTAAAGGGTCCTTGCTTCTTCTTTCGGATTCCTGTACAACTCCATTGCCCGCCAAACTGTATGCCCTAACCCATCCCCCAAGCCTTTTAGCCAACTGAGAAAGACTGTGAACCTTTGACCTGGACAAATCCCAGGTGAGGGGCAGGTACGACTGCATCAGGGACATAAGGAGGAGCCACCGTGGACAATTTTGTGCTCATGTACCTGCTCAGCTGGAGTGAATATGTGCATGCACCCTTTTGAGCAAAAGAAATTGCCTTGTCAAGATCTTCTCTGTCTCTCGAGTGTCTGTTTTTGTCACCGGAGGGTCTTTAATTCCAACAACCACCAACTCCAATGCCAACAGCACCACATAAAACATGCTATCAGAGACACAGTCGTCCCGTGTTGGAAAAACAGTGAGCCTGCTCCACCAGCAGTGTGAAAGAAACCACTCCCCCTTCCTCTCTCACCCACAGTACAGAAACACTCATTCATTCCACACCAACAGGAAACCAAACCCCATTGTTACCTGGGTTTTAGAGGCTGATTTTTTTAAGTTTGATGTGCTATCCCACCCAAATCCCAAGTGAGTATCGCACTCTAACATGCACTTGTAGCTGTCACATCCTGGGTCAACTGAAGAAGGAGTGAGTGGGACTGGGAAGGGAATTAGTTAACATCCTCACAGTGGGGCATGTGGGCTGGAAGCAAGGACCAGCCAGTCCCCTTCTTCAGGCTCTTAGTAAAACCAGAGCTTTGCTGTGAGGCTACAGGAGGCTTCAGGACCACAGCATGTCTGCAGGCCAGCTAGCTCCCAGGGAGACTTGGCCCCTCTCACCGCCTCCACACCATGATCCTCTAGGTTGCAGTGGACAATCCTCAAGGTATCCCCACCCTCATCCTGGAGGGAGTGGTGGGGTGGGTTCAGAGCCCTATGGGCAGTCCCTACTTGGCCATGCCAGACATCTTTTGAGAGACTGACTTTGAACCAGTTGATCTCAATTTGCTTCAAGGGTACCATCCCCTTGCAAGGATATCGCAGCCCAGCAAGAAGACTTGAATGGGCAGACATAGAAAGAAATACCACAGTCTTCATTCTGGGGCTGGGGGCTTTTGACCTACTTGTATCTGTTCAGTGCCACAAATTCAGGCCCAGGAGTCACATGAAAGGAGAGTCAGCAAATCAAAGGTGTGTGAACTGGGAATCCTGCCTGTCTTCCTCTTGTCCATGTAGATTCTGAGCCGGAAAGGGGGCCAAAATTTCTCACCTAGACAGAGAACGGGGAAGGGTTAGGCCACATACCCAGCTCACTGCCCAACATCAAGACCACAGCCTGGTCATTTTAATTTTAATTTTATATATTAAAATGACCATGCCATTTTAATTTTATATATTTTTAAATATATATATATATGACTTTTTTCTTTTTTGCAGCACTGAGGCTTGAACTCAGGGCCTGCACCTTGAGCCACTCCACCAGCCCTTTTTTGTGAAGGGTTTTTTCAAGATAGGGTCTCCTGGAACTATTTGCCCAGGCTGGCTTTGAACAGAGATCCTCCTAATCTCTGCCTCCTGAGTAACTACAATTATAGGTGTGAACCACCGGTACCCAGCCTTATATATATTTTTAATTATATAAAAGGATAGATAAGCCTTCATGCTTCTCACCCCCAGCCATCCAGATCCTCCCCCCAGAAGCAATGCTGTCACTACATTGGTATCTTCCAGGAATATCTCAGACTACTTATACTTTTTAATAAATTTTATTAAACATTATATCTATATATAATATTTATAACATAAGTTTAAGATACAAAAATAGTAAGACACCCATATGCCAACAACCTTGTCGAAGAATAGAAAATAACCAATATTGAAATAGCACTGTGTCACACCCAATACTATATGCAAATGCTCATAGCAGCCGTGATGCTTCATTTTGTGCTTCCACTTGACTGGACCATGGGCTACCCAGATTAAGCATTATTTCTTGGTGTGTCTGGGCAAGTACTTCCAGATGAGCTTAGCCTTTGAGTCAGCGGAATGAGTGAAGTAGATCACCCTCCCCTATATGGTTGATTAAGCATCATCCAATTTGTTGACGGCCTGAATGGAACAAAAGGTGGAGGAAAAAGGAATTTGTTGCCTTTTTTTTTCCCTGCTTGGCTGCTTGAGCTGGAACATCTTATCTGGTCTCCTGTCCTTGGATTGGGATTTGCAACACTGGTTTCTCTGGTTCTCGGGCTTTCAAACTGAGACTGAATAACACTACCGACTTTCCTGAATCTTTGGGGACCCAAGCTTGCAGACAGAAGGTAGTGGGGTTTCACAGCCTCCATGATTACAGCCAATTCCTCATAATGAAGCTCTAGAGAGGAGAGGAGAGAGAGAGAGAGAGAGAGAGAGAAAGAGAAAATCTCCTATTGGTTCTGTTTCTCTAAACAGCCCTGACTGATATAGATAATGGCCAAAAGGTGACACAAGCCAAATGTCTGCCAACTGATGTATAGGTAAGGAAAATGTAGAATGTCCCTGTAAAGGTAACATTATTTGGCCATAAAAGGGAAATACTAATTTATTTTACAACATGGAGGACACTTGAAAACATGCTAAACATGCAAGAGGCTGGTCACAAAAGCTACATGGTATATGATTCCACTCTCCTGAACTGTGGGAACGGGCACACATGCAGACTCCAAGTGGATTAGCGATTGTAGTGATGGTTTAGGGCTGGAAGGTATGGAAGAATTTAGGCTCAGTGTTTCTTTTTAGATGATGAGAATGTTTTAAAATGGATTGTGTTAACGGTTTCACAACTTTGTGAATATACTAAAAACCATTGAACTATATATTTTAAATGAGTGAACTGTTTATGTGAATTGTAGCTCAATAAAGATGTAACCAAAAATAAAAAAAAAAACCTCATGTTCATCTCTGTCCGAGTACAGTTGCAGTCACTCACCCGAATTTTGTCTACTTTACTATTGCTTTTTAAAATATTAAAATGTATCCGTTAACAACATATTGATGCAATTCCTAATATATAGTGACTTCGTATTTTTTAAGGTTCTACAAATGGAATGAAACCTTATGTATTCTACAATTTGATTTTTTTTCTCTCGAGATTAGGTTTTTAGGTGGTCTTGGTAGCACAAACCTGAAATCCCAGCACTTAAGAGGCTGAACCAGGAGGATCTTGAGTTCTACCAAGACCCATATTTTTTTTTTAAATTAAGTTTCCTAATCTAAGAGTTTTTTTTTAATTGTTGTGCTGGGTGGGGGTACACTGTAGCATTTACAAAGGTTCTTACCATGTATCAAATATATCATGCTTGAATTTACCCCCTCCCTCCACTGCTCTTCTTCATCCCCCCCCCCATTCCTGGAATAGTCTCAACAGGCCTCATTTTTTAAATTACATACATGTGTGTACATTATTTGCACCATGTTCATTCTCCTAATCCTTTCCCCACCACCTCCCTCTCCCACCAGTGCCAACCACACACACACACACCAGGAAGAACCTGTTCTGCCTCCCTGTTCTCCAATTTTGTAGAAGAAAAAACATAAAAGATAAAAAGGGAAGCATGGTGTTTTTGCTAGTTCAAGAATAAAGACAGATACACAGGGAGGTTCTTTGTGTTGTTTCCATGCATATATATGTTACAACCCCAATTGGTTCATCTCTTCTAGTCCTCTTCACTCTTCCCTAGTCCTCTTTCCATGGGGGCTCCAACCCAGTTTAAGGTTTCTATATTCATTCCTGTACAGTAAGCATATCAACCACATTCAAGTTTTTGGTTTCCTTCCCTTGCTCTATCCCTCCCATGTGCAGCCTCCCCTTAGTGTGACCCATGTCCTGTAATATTTCTGCATTTGTTTTAGGTCTATAATCCACATATGAGAGAGAACATGGCCTTCCAAGCCTCGCTAACTTAAGATGATGTTTTCCAGTTCCATCCATTTACCTATGAATGACAAAATTTCACTCTTCTTTGTGGCTGAGTAAAATTCTGTGGTGTATAAATACCATATTTTCTTAATCCATTCACCAGTAGTGGGGCATCTTGGTTGCTTCAATAGTTTATCTACTGTGAATAGTGCTGCAATACACATAAGTGCACAAGTGCCTTTGTTGTAAGCTGACTCACATTCTTTCCAGTATATCCCTAGGAGTGGTACTGCAAATCTATTTTTAGTTCTTTAAGAAGCTTCCACACTATTTTCCATAGTGGTTGTACTAGTTTACATTCCCACCAGCAGTGTATGAGGGTTCCTTTTTCCCCGCATTCTTGCCAACATTTGTTACTGGTGGTGTTCTTGGAGTTGGTATTCTTGTTGTTGGTATTGGAGTGAGGTGGAATCTTAGTGTGGTTTTGATTTGCATTTCCCTCATGGCCATGGTTGGTGAGCATTTTTTTTCATGTGTTTTTGGCCATTTGGACTTTTTCTTTTGAAAAAGTTCTGCTCAGTTCAGTTGCCTATTTCTTTATTGGGTCATTGATTTTTGAGGAGTTTAGTTTTTTGAGCTCCCTGTATATTCTGGTTATCACTCCCTTGTCTAATGTATAGCTAGCAAAGATTTTTCTCCCATTCTGTGGATGGCCTTTTCAATTTAGAGAGCATTTCTTTTGTTGTGCAGAATCTTCTTAATTTTATGTAGTCCCATTTGTCAATCCTTTCTCTTAGTTGCTGAGCTGCTGGGGTTCTACTGAGGAAGTCACTCCTATGCCTATTGCTTCCAGTGTATTCCCTACTCTTTCCTGTACTAGCTTCAAGGTTTCAGGTCTGATATTAAGATCCTTCAACCACTTTGAGTTGATACTTGTACAGTGTAAGAGACATGGATCAAGTTTCAGTTTTCTGGAGGCAGATATCCAGTTTTCCCAGCAACATTTGTTGAAGAGGCTGTCTCTTCTCCATCATATGTTTTTGGTAACTTTGTCAAAAATTAGGTAGGCATTATTGCATGGATTCATATCCAGGTCTCCTATTCTATTCCACTGATCCTCATGTCTGTTTTTGTGCCAGTACCATGCTATTTTTATTGCAATGGCTCTGTAGTATAGTTTAAAGTCAGGTATTGTGATATATCCAGCATTGCTCTTTTTGCTCAGTATTGCCTTGGTTATTCTGGGTCTTTTGTGTTTCCAAATGAACTTTGGAATTGGTTTTTCAGTTTCTGAGACAAATGTCATTGGGATTTTGATGGGAATTGCATTGAACATGTAGATTGCTTTGGTAGTATAGCTATTTTTACTATGCTGATTCTGCCAATCCACGAGCAAGGAGATCTTTCCATCTTCTGTAGTCTTCTTCAATTTCTTTCTTCAATGGTTTGTAGTTTTCCTGTAGAGGTCATTCACATCTTTATTAAGTTTATTCCTAGGTATTTTTTGAGGCTATTGTAAATGGAATTGTTTTCCTATATTCTTTCTCAATCTGTTCATTGTTG